TCTGTCAAAGTCCTCACTTTTAAGGAAATGCAAAACTTAAAATAAAAGTCTCTTTTTGCTTGATAACAAATAAGCAATTTGTTGGTGGGAAAAAAAAATAGAAAAGAAAAGTTATCAGTAGAAGGGGGTGACAGGTGGCCTGGTGTTTAAAGGTCCTGGATTCCCACATGGCCAGCCGCAGTTCAGGTACTAGACCTGGCTGGTTGCTTTCTCGCTTTTGCTCTCTCTCTGTTTCTCTCTGGTCAGATTTTAAAACAAATAATAATAATAAAAACAACAAATGGACTTAAATAAATAATTCTTTTTAAAAAAAAGTTATCAATAGGGGCCAACAAGTAGTGTCGTGGCATAGGACTCCCACATGACTGACTGCAGTTTGAGCCCCTGACCTGGCAGCTTGCTTTCTCAGTTTTCCTCTCTTTCTCTCTCTCTCTTTCTCTGTGTCTCTCTGTTCAATTAAAATAATAATAGTGGAGGGGACAGCAGATGGCATGTTAGGATGTTATGGCACTGGATGCTTGCTTTCTTTTTTTTTTGAGAGATTTATGCTATAGGGCGCGCATGCGCTCGCCAGACAGACAGAGAAAGACAGAGAGACAGAAAGCAAGAAATCACACCCCAGGGGGGATGGCCACACCGCAATCCCTTCTCCTCCATTCTCCTCTCAGGATCTACCGGGTCAGGGACGCGAACTTTGGTGGACTACGTGGGAATCCAGCGTCATAGCCATTACGCCAACTACTGGTCCCCTAGGGCACTGGATGCTTTCACATGGCTGACCATGGTACAAGTCTGAAATCTGGTGGCTTGCTTTCTTCCTTCTCTCTTTCGTGCCCATAAATTGAAGTACCTGGGTGTTCCTAAGTATTGGGGGTCTGGTCTGCATGATAAAAATGGGAAAAGTTACAGGTTTATGATAATAGATCGCTTTGGGAGTGACCTTCAGAAAATATATCAAGCAAATGCCAAAAGGTTTTCTCGGAAAACTGTCTTGAAGCTAAGCCTAAGAATTCTGGATATTCTGGAATACATTCACGAACACAAGTATGTACACAGAGATATCAAAGCCTCAAATCTGCTCCTGAGCTACAAAAATCCTGACCAGGCTTACTTGATAGATTATGGCCTTGCTTATTGGTATTGTCCAAAAGGAGTTCATAAAGAGTACAAAGAGGATCCCAAAAGATGTCATGACGGCACTATTGAATTCACAAGCATTGATGCGCGATGCGCACAATGGTGTGGCCCCATCAAGACCTGGTGATTTGGAAATACTTGGTTACTGCATGATCCAGTGGCTTAGTGACCATCTTCCTTGGGAGGATAATTTGAAAGATCCTAACTATGTTAGAGATTCCAAAATTAGTTACAGAGAAAATACTGCAAGTTTGATGAACAAATGCTTCCCTGAGAAAAACAAGCCAGGTGAAATTGCTAAATACATGGAAACAGTGAAGTTACTGAACTATACTGTAAAACCTCTTTATCAAAATTTACGAAATAAAAAAAAAAGTGTACGAGATATTCTTTTGCAAGGACTTAAAGCTATAGGAAGTCGGGATGATGACAAACTGGACCTCAGCGTTGTGGAGAATGGAGGCTTGAAAGCAAAACAGCAGCAAGGAAGAGAAAGAAGGAAATGGAAGAAAGCACAGAATCTAGTGTTAAAGATATTTGGAATGTTCAAACTCACCGACAGAGGACGCCACACAGACTCGTTCAAGAACCAGAAAGAGACCCCAGAAGTAAATCAAATGCCATGAACCAACTTTCTTTTTTTCCTTTCATTGGACTTTTGTATTGTGTTTTATTTTTATGAGTCTTGTGCAGTGGAAGCAGTAATTAAATATCTGTGTCTTTGGAAAACAAACTTAAAAAAAAATACTTTGTACAATTTATTAAAGGTTAATATACATTAATTCCCACATCTTTTTTTTTTTTTTGAGAGGGTTTTTTTGCTATAGGGCTCGTGGGCTCGCCAGACAGACAGAGACAGAAAGCAAGAAATCACCCCCCAGGGGGGATGGCCACGCCACAATCCCTTCTCCTCCATTCTCCTCCCAGGATCTTGGGCATGCATGCACATGTGCCTGGCGTGAGTTTAAGCCACCGGGTCCAGGACTTGAACCGCGGTCGACTACATGGGAGTCCAGCGACATAGCCATTACGCTAACTGCTGGTCCCGGAATTCCCGCATCTTCAGGTTATACTCTTTAAGCTTTTTCAAGCTGTGTGTGTTTGAGGTTTGGGAATCTGTGTAAGAAAAATTACTGTAGATGATGTGCACTCTTTTAATCACTGTGCGTTTCCTAGATAGATAAAAAGTCTGTCAAAGTCCTCACTTTTAAGGAAATGCAAAACTTAAAATAAAAGTCTCTTTTTGCTTGATAACAAATAAGCAATTTGTTGGTGGGAAAAAAAAATAGAAAAGAAAAGTTATCAGTAGAAGGGGGTGACAGGTGGCCTGGTGTTTAAAGGTCCTGGATTCCCACATGGCCAGCCGCAGTTCAGGTACTAGACCTGGCTGGTTGCTTTCTCGCTTTTGCTCTCTCTCTGTTTCTCTCTGGTCAGATTTTAAAACAAATAATAATAATAAAAACAACAAATGGACTTAAATAAATAATTCTTTTTAAAAAAAAGTTATCAATAGGGGCCAACAAGTAGTGTCGTGGCATAGGACTCCCACATGACTGACTGCAGTTTGAGCCCCTGACCTGGCAGCTTGCTTTCTCAGTTTTCCTCTCTTTCTCTCTCTCTCTTTCTCTGTGTCTCTCTGTTCAATTAAAATAATAATAGTGGAGGGGACAGCAGATGGCATGTTAGGATGTTATGGCACTGGATGCTTGCTTTCTTTTTTTTTTGAGAGATTTATGCTATAGGGCGCGCATGCGCTCGCCAGACAGACAGAGAAAGACAGAGAGACAGAAAGCAAGAAATCACACCCCAGGGGGGATGGCCACACCGCAATCCCTTCTCCTCCATTCTCCTCTCAGGATCTTGGGCACGCACACACACGCGCCCGGCGTGAGTTTAAGCCACCGGGTCAGGGACGCGAACTGTGGTTGACTACGTGGGAGTCCAGCGTCATAGCCATTACGCCAACTACTGGTCCCCTAGGGCACTGGATGCTTTCACATGGCTGACCATGGTACAAGTCTGAAATCTGGTGGCTTGCTTTCTTCCTTCTCTCTCTCCCTCCTTCACTCCCTCCCTCTCTCCCTCCCTTTTTCTCTCTGTGTGTTTCTCTCTGGTCAAATTAAAATAAGTGAGAGGCCAGCAGGTGGCGTGGTAGTTAAAGGTTAAGGGCACTGGACTCCTATGTTCAAGTCCCTGACCTGGTGGCTTGCTTCCTCATTTTCCCTCTCTCTCTCTCTCTCTGTTCCTCTCTGGTCAAATTAAAATAAACAAACAAGCAAACTAAGTTACATAAAATAATTTTTAAAAAATTAAAATAAGTGAATGAGTGAATAAAAATGAATAAAATTTTTAAAAATAATTATTATGATGAATAAAATAAAATAATTATTTTTAAAAGTTATCAGGGGCTGGCAGGTGGCGTGGTGGTTTAAAGGTGCTGGATTCCCACATGGCTGATCATGGGTCAGGGCCTGGACCTGGCGGCTTGCTTTCTCCCTTTCCCTTTTTCCCTCTCTTTCTGTCTCTCTCTAGTTAAATTAAAAAATAATAACAACAAATGGAATTAAATAAATAAATCCTTTTTTAAAAAAATAAATCCTTTTTAAAAGAGTTATCAGTAAATGTAAAATTTCAGTAAACAGTTGTTCAATCAATGATGCTAATCACAGGAAAAATTGCAAGATGACTGAATAAAAAGGCTGTTTGCTGAAAGGGGGGAATTCTTACTGATCATACACATAGTGGTTTTTGAAGCTCATAGTTCGTGTATGTTACAGCAGTCATTCTGGCATTCTTAGGAAGAGGAAACTGACCCTCAGCAAGGTTAAGTAGATTTTGCTGTCCTTGAACCCACATCAGTAAAAAGAATGTTGTAGGGGCCAGACTTGAAAAAGAAGTCTTCAGCAGAAACAGGCCAGCCTGGACTCAAACCTGGCCATGGGCAGTCTACCCCTACTGGCTTGATTTCGAATTGCTGACCAGAACCATCTGGTCCTGGTCCTGGGTGTAGCTAGAGGTTTCCAGATCCAAGTGGCTCATTGGGTCTTAGAAACACACTAAAGATAAGTGGAGTGTCAACAAGGTCCAAAAAGAGACTTCCATTTGAAACTAAAGAGAATGGGAAGAAATCCTCACCTTTCTTTTCTTGCCTTCACACCTGAATTTCTCCAGATTGAAAAATTCAAAGCATTAAGAAAACTGTAGAGGGACCAGCAGTTAGCGTAATGACTATGTCGCAAACTTCCATGTAGTCAATTGCAGTTCGAGTCCCAGACCCGGTGGTTTAAACTCAGCCGGGCATGTGTGTGTGCATGGCCACGATCCCAAGAGGAGAATGGAGGACAAGGGATTGCGGCATGGCCATCCCCCCTCAGGGTGATTTCTCGCTTTTTGTCTCTCTGTCTCTTTCTGGTGAGCGCATGTGCCCTGTAGCAAAAATAAATAAATAAGTAAATAATTGTAGAAATCAGGGACCAGTAGTTAGCTTAATGGCTATGTCACTGAACTCCCATGTAGTTGACCGTAGTTTGAGTCCTGGACCCGGTGGTTTAAACTCATGCTGGGCGTGTGTGCGTGTGTGCCCTAGGTCCCGAGAGGAGAATGGAGGAGAAGGGATTGTGGCGTGGCTATACCCCCTGGGGGGTGAGGGTGATTTCTTGTTTTCTGTCTCTCTGTCTCTCTGGTGAGCACACATGCCTTATAGCAAAAACTTCTCCAAAAAAAAAAAAAAAAACTTTAGAAATCCACATAGGTGTTCAAGTGCCTACTGAGTATTTTGCATGCGTGAATGTTAATGAACCGTTTTTCATCTTGATTATGATTCTGCATCAGTGATGACTGACCCTTGCATCTCTCTCACCCAGATCGTGTCTGCAGTACAATACTGCCACCAAAAACGGATCGTTCACCGGGACCTCAAGGTGAGTCAGAGTCCCTTACTAAGTGTGTGTTCTGTTCTCTCAGTGGTCATTGCAAAAATGAGGTATGAGTTAGGTTGTATCATTAAATAAGGGGGGAAAAGTCATGCTATAGAATCCTTCTAGTTAATTGTAGCAAAGAGCATGTTATATATCTAGACACTAATATACCATCTACTGAGGAGTAACCATGTGCTGGTTGAGGACCCTGATGCAAAATCCTATGTACTCCAGAATCTGAAACTTATTTTACTGAGGGGTAGAGAAAGACAAGAGCGATTTAGGGTTAGGCACCTTTGTCAGGGTCTTGCCATGCCCTCAGTCCTGCTTAGGCCCCACAGTTAGCTAGAACCACAGGGATGTGGCTCTCCACCCAGCCTGTTTAGGTTGGGCCGCAAACCAAACCCCCGTCTCATACACAGTGCAGCCATTGTGCAGTGGTACCTTCTTGTTTGAGCCACAAAGGCTGGGCCAGAATCTTGAACTTTCTGAGCACTGACGTGGCACCATAACTGGAAAGTCCATAGCTGACTTCTGTGATAGGCACAGTCAAAACACAGGCACATACAGTTTATTCAGTGTTCCTAAGCAAACAAGACCCTCCTGACCCCCTTCAGCTACAGTATATGTTTCTGTCCAGCCCCCATGAACAAAATTATTATTTTTTTTCTGGGGAGATTTTTCTATAGGGTGCATGCCTTCACTGGAGAGACAGAAAGTGAGAAATCACCCCCTAAGGGGGATGACCACACTGCAGTCCTTTATTCATTCTCTTCTCAGGATCTCAGGCACACACGCACACACATACACGTGCCCAGTGTGAATTTTAAGCCTTCATGTCTGGGACTCAAACTATAGTTGACCACATGGGAGTCCAGCAATGTAATCATTATGCCATCTGCTGGTCCTCAACAAAATGACTAAAAATACTTACACAATTACCTTTAGACTGTATGTATAAAGTGTATATGAAATATAAATGAATTTCTGTTTAGACTTGGGTCAGTCCCCAAGATGTCTCACTGTGTATGTGCATATTTTCCAAAATCCAAAAGGATCTGAAATCTGAGACATTTCTGGTCCCAAGCATTTCAGACAAGGCATACTCAACCTGTTGTAAATGTTTGTTTAAGGTAATGAAAGTGACGGGGCCAGCAGGTTGCATGGTGGTTAAAGGTGCTGGACTCCCACATGGCCAAATGCAGTTTGAGTCCCAGACCTAACTAGCAACTGCTTTCTCATTTTCCTTCTCTCTCTCTCTCATTCTATCCCTGTCTGGTGAAATTAAAATAAATAAATGAAGTTGAATAAAATAATCCTTTTTGGGGGAGGGGTAATGAAAGTGACGGGGCCAGCAGGTTGCATGGTGGTTAAAGGTGCTGGACTCCCACATGGCCAAATGCAGTTTGAGTCCCAGACCTAACTAGCAACTGCTTTCTCATTTTCCTTCTCTCTCTCTCTCATTCTATCCCTGTCTGGTGAAATTAAAATAAATAAATGAAGTTGAATAAAATAATCCTTTTTGGGGGAGGGGGGATGGTTGCTATAGGGCACATGCACTCGCCAAAAAGACACAGAGAGAGAGAGAGAGAGAGAAAAAAAAACAGGAAGCATGAAATCACCCCCAAGGTGGGATGGCCACGCCACAGTCCCTTTTCCTCCATTCTCTTCTTGGGATCTTGGGCATGCATGCACACGTGCACAGAGTGAGTTTAAGCCACTGGGTCCGGGACTCAAACTGCAATTGACTACATGGAGGTCCAGTGACATAGCCATTAGGCCGTCTGTTGTTCCCTAAAATACTTTTAAAAAAGGAAAGAAAGAAAGGGTTAAGGGTGCTAGACCTTCACATGGCTGACCATGGTTCAAATCCTAGACCTTGCAGCTTGTTTTTTCACTTTCCTTCTCTCTCTTTCTCTGCCTCTCTCTGTGTCTGATCATATTTAAATAAGTAAGTAAATAAAGTTAAATAAAATAATTCTTTAAAGAAAATAAAAATGAAGTAATGAAAGCGACTGTGAGTTATCTTTTGAATGAGATTTGAGATTCTTCCCTCCCCAGTAATGGCCATTTTATGTTACTAAACATTTTTATGAAATGTGTTTGTTCATTTAAAACAAGTAACCATTTTTAGAGGTTTATCTTTTTGGGGCTGGCAGATGGCGTGGTAGTTAAGGGCGCTGGATTCCCACATAGTCGACTGCAGTTCGAGTCCTGGACCTGGTGGCTGCTTTCCCATTTTCCCTCTCTCTCTCTCTATCTCTCTTACTCTCTCACTCTGTCCCTCTCTGGTCAAATTAAAATAAATAAAGTTAAGTAAAATAATTATTTTAAAAAAATTTTATCTCTTTAATTTTTGCCAGAGTGTGCATGTGCTTGCCAGAGAAAGAGGGGGGAAGAAGAGAAGGGAAGAAAGTGAGAAAGTGTACCCCATGGGGGATAGTCATACTATAATACCATTTCCTCCATTTCTCCGTCCTTTTGGGATTTGGGAAATGCATGTATATACTCTTGGGGTGTATTTTAGGCCATCAGGTCCAGAACTCAAACTGTGTAGTGAGCCATGTGGGATTCAGCCACCTGAGCCACTATAGTACTGGCTGGTTTGCATTACCCATCTTTTCAAAAGTCCGTTATTGGCTAGCCCAATAGCCTTCTGGTTAAGAGAGCTAGATCCTACATGAATAATCCGTGGTTCAAATCCTGGCCACAGTGGTTTGAAAAATACACTAGGTGTATGTGCAATGTGCATACATGCCCAAAATCCCAAAAGGAGGGAGAAATGAAGAAGGGATTGTTGCATGACCACATCTCACAGAGGTAGGGATGCTATCTTCTCCTCACTTCTATGCTTCTCTTTGGCAAGAAAACAGCCACCCTCGACAATTAGAAAGAAAGAAAGAAAGAAAGAAAGAAAGAAAGAAAGAAGACAGAGTTTTTCTTGATCTTTGGACATTTGGTGTTTATTTAAATTAGTGAATTAATGAATCTATACTTCTATATGTTTGTTATTAATTGTTAATGTCATGAAGTTAGGAGTTCTAATTTGTCTCTTATTTTTTTTCTCTCTCTAAAAAAAAAATTAAGCTATTTATAACATCACAAAAAGCTTTTACGAAATGCCTAATCCTTTTGTAGTTCTAATTATATTTTGGTTACATTTCTTTTTTTGTCTTGATTTTTTTTTTGCCAGGCTGAAAATCTATTGTTAGATGCTGATATGAACATTAAAATAGCAGATTTTGGTTTTAGCAATGAATTTACTGTCGGCAGTAAATTGGATACGTTTTGCGGCAGTCCTCCATATGCAGCCCCGGAACTTTTCCAAGGCAAGAAATACGACGGGCCAGAGGTCGACGTGTGGAGCCTTGGTGTCATTCTGTACACACTAGTCAGCGGCTCGCTTCCCTTTGATGGGCAGAACCTGAAGGTAAAAGAAGGACCAGCAGTTGGTGTAGTGGCTACATCGCTGGACTCCCATATAGTCTACCGCGGATCGAGTACTGGACCCGGTGGCTTAAACTCAGGCCGGGCACGTGTGTGTGCATGCCCAAGATCCCGAGAGGAGAATGGAGGAGAAGGGATTGTGGCATGGCCATCCCCCCTGGGGGGTGATTTCTCACTTTCTGTCTCTCTGTCTCTGTCTTTCTGGCGAGGACACATGCCCTGTAGCAAAAACCTCACCGCCACCCCCCCCCAAAAAAAAAGAACAAGCCATTGCCTCCATATTCTTCATAAAACTGAACAGGCTTGGGAACCAGCAGTTAGCGTAATGGCTATGTCGCTGGACTCCCACGTAGTCGACCGCGGTTCGTGTCCCGGACCCGGTGGCTTAAAACTCATGCCGGGCGCGTGTGCGTGCGTGCCCAAGATCCTGAGAGGAGAATGGAGGAGAAGGGATTGTGGCATGGCCATCCCCCCTGGGGGGTGATTTCTCACTTTCTGTCTCTCTGTCTCTGTCTTTCTGGCGAGGACACATGCCCTGTAGCAAAAACCCCCCCGCCCCCCCCCCCCAAAAAAAAAAAAACTGAACAGGCTTTTTGTAATATTACACAGTTAATATTTGTAAGGTTATGTCAATATGGGGGTCCAATGAGGGTTTTTTTGTTTTTGTTTTTTAACCTAAAAATTGACTCACTGGCCTTTTCTCTTTTTTACTTCCTGAAAGGAACTGAGAGAAAGAGTATTAAGAGGGAAATACAGAATTCCTTTCTACATGTCCACAGACTGTGAAAATCTTCTCAAACGTTTCCTGGTGCTAAATCCAATTAAACGAGGCACTCTTGAGGTAATCACCTACGTCACAGTGGCAGAAAATTTTAAGCTATTTTTAGAACTTTGCTTGATTTGTGTGACGAACAAAATACTTTAATAATGCTTTTTAAGCAAGAATTGAGATATTAAAATTTTAAAATTTACCCTTTGAATCAACCTCTAATCAATGAAATGTTGAGAATAATTTTTCTAAATATGATTATAACGACATACTGTTTAATGCTGCTAATGAATATTTTACAATTTTTAGCAAATCATGAAGGACAGGTGGATCAATGCAGGACATGAGGAGGATGAACTTAAACCATTTGTTGAACCAGAACTAGACATCTCAGACCAGAAAAGAATAGGTAAATACTCTGTGCCTGCATGTTTGTGTGTGTGTGCTTATATCAGTAACATTTTTTCTGTTTTGTCTTTTGTCTTTTTTTTTTTTTTTTTCATTATTATTTTTGCTACAGGGCATATGCAGTCACCAATGAGAAAGAAAAAGTGAGAGCTCACCCCCAGGGAAGATGGCTGTCCCACAGTCCTTTCTCCCCCATTTTCCACTCAAGATTTTGGGCTCACACACACATGAACCCACTATATTTTTTAAGCTACTGGATCCAGGATTCAAACTATGCAGTCACCTATCTGGTATCCAGCTGACTTAACCACCATGCTAGTGGTAACACTGGCCCAGTACCATTGGGCCTAGTAATATGTTTCTGTTCTGATTTATAAATGTGTACCTAAAATATGAATAATGAAAAGTTAAACACAAGTTATATGAATCAGCTTTTCTGTTCTGTGATATTTAGGAGCTTACTGCCTGCAGCTTATGAAAGCACCCAGTTAACTCAGGAACAAATGAGATGTCACTTACCTTAAAAAATGTGTAATTTGGGGGGATCAGCAGTTGGTATAATGACTCTTTCGCTGGACTGTGATGTAGTCAACCACAGTTTGAGTGCTGGACTCAGTGTCTTAAACTCATACTGGGCATGTGTGTGTGTGTGTGCCCAAGATCTCAAGAGAAGGGATTGTGGCGTGGCCATCCCCCCCTTGGGGGGTGATTTTTCACTTTCTGTCTCTGTCTTTCTGGCAAGCGCATGTACCCTATAGCAAAAACCCCTCCCAAAAAAAAAAAGTGTAATTTCTTTTTTCTTTTTGTAAAGATTTAATCATTCATTTATTTTCAATTTGACCAAAGAGACACACACAGAGAGAGAGAGAAGGTAAGAAAACAAGCCACTAGGTCCGGGACTTGAACTGTGGTCAACCATGTGGGAACATCCAGCGCCTTAACCACCACGCCACCTGCTGGTCCCAAAAAGTATAATTTCTTAAGTCAGATAAAAAAATTATTTTCCCCTGTAACCCAATGATTTCTTTACCCAAACGAAAAAATCATAAACTGTATTATACTCTTCTTTTAGACATTATGGTCGGAATGGGGTATTCACAAGAAGAAATACAAGAATCTCTTAGTAAAATGAAATATGATGAAATCACAGCTACATATTTGTTGTTGGGCAGAAAATCTTCAGAGGTAAGAGTAATCAGAGAGTAAGAGCTGAAATACCCTTTATGTAAATTACTAGTTTCTATAAATTATTTTTTAATATATACAACATATTTGTTGTATCATTTTTAAATTTACCTGCAAATAATGAATCTAATTCCTGTGACTGTTATGAGTTACTATTAACTTTAAGATAAGATTTCACTGTGGATAGTGTCACCGACTTGAGCTTTCATAAATTAACATGTAGTCATTAATAGTTCAGAAATGATGTAAACTATCAGTTGTTGTAAATAGAGCATTTTAAGTTATTGAATCAAAGATTATAATACATAATCTTGCAGCAGTCAGAAAACTACTGCTTGAGTTTAGGGTTGTCATTTTTGTACATTTTGATTCTCTCTCTTCGAAATGAACGGTATATGAGGTTTTTGTGTGTTGTCAGAAGTTTGGTTTCCTAATAAACCGTTTGGGTTTGCATTGTGGTTTGTTGTTTTCTCATTTTTTCTTAGCTCGATGCCAGTGATTCCAGTTCTAGCAGCAATCTCTCACTTGCTAAGGTTAGGCCGAGCAGCGACCTTAACAACAGCACTGGCCAGTCTCCTCACCACAAAGTGCAGAGAAGTGTTTCTTCAAGCCAGAAGCAGAGACGGTACAGTGACCATGGTAAGTTTGAGATTACCCTGTGTGTTCTCTTGGAACCGTTTCACACTGGGAAGCACCCACTTGCTTAGGGCCTGCCAGAGCTGGAGGTTGGCTTAATGTCCTTGGCATTTCTCTCAGCATTCCTGTTGGTACTGGTATGATTAGCTCTAATCTCCTTGGCACATTGGGTGATTTTTGCTGAGCTGGGTGGATACCCTACTATTTACTTTGTTTCTAGTTCTGTTTACTCTCTTCTTCACCTCCGTTTTGGATTACTGTCTAGTGCAGCACTGTTTAGTGTCTAGTACAGTTTTCTGTGACAAAATATTCTCTCTGTTGTCTAGTCAAGGAGCTACTTGGTTACAAGTGGCTATTGAGTACTTGAACTGAGGAGATGACTTGCAGGGTTTTTTCCCTTTATTAGTGATAGATCATGAAAGAGGAATGGTGAGAGAAAGGGGGAAAGACAGAAATACCCTCCACAGAGTCTAGTCACGTGGTGATCCCTTTCCTCCAGTCCTTAGCTCCTTGTATCTTTGGCCTCTGATAGCAGGCCCAGCATGTTTGACACTGACCAGGCTGAGATTTGAACCAAAGTAAACATGTGAGATCCACCTTCTCTTGAGCAGCACATTACCACTGCACCATGGAGCCAGCCCAGACTTCCAGGTTTTTTATTGTTTTTGTTTTAAATTAAGTAAAAGGTATATAGCTACATTTAATTAGTGACTATCATATTGGAGAGGACAGCCATGGATAATATTGGGTTGTCAGAAAAGTCATGACATGTTTTTCTATGCAAAAATGCTTCATGGGGATCAACAGATGGCAAAATGGTTACGTTGCTGAACACCCATGTAGTTAGCTGTGGTTTGAGTCCCAGACATGGCAGCCTAAAACTCATGCCAGGCACTTGCGCGAGCATGTCTAAGACCCCGAGAAGAGAATGGCAGAGGAAGGGATTCACGCCAGGCACTTGTGGGAGCATGTCTAAGACCCCGAGAAGAGAATGGCAGAGGAAGGGATTGCAGTGTGGTGATCCCCTCAGAGGTTGACTTCTCAGCTTCTGTCTCTCTGGCGAGCGCCCTCGCCCATAGCAAAAATTTCTCCTTTTTTTTTTTTTAGAGAGATTTTTTTGCTGTTGGGTGCGTGTGCTCACTGGAGCGTGCGTGAGAGAGAGAGACAGTAAATGAGAAATCACCCCCTTGGGGGGATGGACACCCTGTAGTCCCTTCTCCATTCTCCTCTTTAGATTTTGGGCACATACATACACATGCACAACGTGAGTTTTAAGCTGCTGGGTCTGGGACTTGAACCACAGTCAACTCTGTGGGAGTTCAGTGATATAACCATTAGGCCATTTGCCAGTCCTACAAAAATCTCTCTTTAAAAAAAAAAAAAAAAAAAAGTCATGACTTTTCTAGCAACCCAATATGTAGTGCCTCAGTTTTGCCTTAATTGGCTTAAATTTTTTACTATTTCATCCTCATCCATATTCCTGTTATTGGTGTTGTTCATCTGCCCTTACCCTTAAGTTTCACTAAGGAAGTCAATCCTTCATGAGGCTGACAGGCACAGAGGCTATGCCTACTGACCTGTAGTTTCTGCTTTCAAGACAGCGTTGGCATCCTAAACCTCTGGCATGTGTGTTTTTATTTACCTATAATCTTTTTTTTTCTTTTTAGAGAATTATTTTATTTAACTTTACCTATTTTATTTACTTATTTTAATTTGACCAGAGAGAGAGAGAAAGTGAGAAAGCAAACTGCCAGGTCCGGGACTCAAACCGTCGTCAACCATGTGGGAGTCCAGCACCCTTAACCACCATGCCACCCGATGGCCTCTACCTGTAATCTTAAAATGTTAATTTGGTGTTTCCTTTAATTCCAATATTCTACAATTCAGGAACTAAATATATGTTGGTCGGGTTCTTTCTTTTAAAAATAGGTCCTTACATTTATTCTGTGTTCATTGTATTTCCCCTCTCGTTTTCTACCTCCGTTTTTTCATCTTGAGATTTGATACTGAGAACACAGAGCATTCTAGGTGTAGGTGGCTTTTGTTTTGTACTGAGAATGATGACACTGTGCTTGGTTGCTGATGCCTGCCTCCCTGTATGGTCTGGACTAAAGCTGTACTGTACCCTGATAGCATTGGTAAGCTGTCTACAATATCTGCTACCCTAGGGTACTGTAGAGTCAGAACCCATTCTGAAACCTTGACTTGGCTTGCAGCATTTATAAATGAAGAATTAATCTGGGTCTCTGTTGCTTCTTTTATGTTCATGCTAGTTGCTAATTAGGGTTTTTCAGTGCCTTCGGACTATAGGAGGGGTACCAAATATCTATATAATACCTCAAAACTGTCCAGTTTAAAGGAAATTGTGTCTAAATCCTGGAAGCAGCCTAGAAATGAAATTTTCTTCTTTCTTTAGGGAGTATCTTAATTAGTTTTTCCTTAAGCATATAGATTTCATCTGGATTATTAATGCCTTTTTGCCTAGCTCATTAAATTTTAAAGATAAAAAGAGCTTTAGACTTACCATACACTCACCACACCCCTATTTGTCACTAAGGAAATGGCCTGAGTCACTCAGTCTCCAAAGGTAACATTGGAGTAAAGACTACTTGTAGCAGACCCCCACTGCTGATCCCTAGTCCTCTGGCTTAGTCAACTAAACCACCTCATTGGAGTGGCCTTTTTTTTTTTTTTTAACTACCATCATCCTTGTTTAAAAAAAAAGAAAAGGGCCAACCCTATAGCCTAATGGTTAAGGAAAGAAAGATCCCACATGGCTAACCAGGTTCAAGTCCCAGCCCTGCTGATTCGAAACACACTACATGTACATGCATGCCCAAAATCGTAACAAATGGAGGAATTGAAAGAGAAGGAATTCTGACGTGATCACGCCCTGTTGGGAGGTCCTTTTTTTTTTTCTCTCTCCCTCTTTCTGTCTATCTCTGGTGAGCACATGTACTCTCTGACAGTTTTTTTTAAAGGCAGAGAAAGAAAAAAAGGTAAAAAGCTACTGGTATTGGGACAGTTTGGTAGTTATCAGGAAAACAATATGAAGCCACTACTCACATCTTATACAAGGATAAATTCCATTTGCAATGTAAATATTAAAAAAAAAAAACACAGAAATAATAAAAGAAAATGTGGATTAACTTGCCTTATACTTGGATTGGTGAAGATCTTTCTGTGAAACTAAACCAATAAAAGACTTATAAATCTGACAACACAAAAGTCAAATCTGGAAGCTAGCAGATTATGTGGTGGTTAGGGCACTGGACTCCCACATGGCAGACCATATCTGTGCATGCCCAAAACCCTGAGAGGAAAACAGGAGAAGGGATTACATACTATTGATTCCATTCGTGCAACCTTCTTGAAATGACAGAATTATAGAGATAGATACCAATTTGGTCCTTTCTTAGACTTAGGGAAGGAGTTGGGGAGAGAGGGAAGTGACTGTAGCTGTGAAAGGGAAGCCCACAAGGTCTTTGAGATATAATTGGTTTGTGACCCCCATAGTGGTGGTCATAGGACTCTACATGTGTCATAAAAAAATATAAACTTTACAAGATACTGGAGCTGGCAGGTGGCATGGTGGTTGAGGGCGCTGGACTCCCACATGGGCGACCACAGTTCGAGTCCTGGACCTGGTGGCTTGCTTGCTCTTTCTCTCTCTCTCTCTCTCTCTCTCTCTCCCCCCAAATTAAAATAAATAAACAAATAACATAAATAAAGTTAAATAAAATAGTTCTTTAAAAAAAAAATACAAATGTTGGGAACCAGCAGTTAGCATAATGGCTATGTAACTGGACTCCTTGACCGCGGTTCGCGTCCCGGACCCGGTGGCTTAAAACTCACGCCAGGCGCGTGTGCGTGCGTGCCCAAGATCCCAAGAGGAGAATGGAGGAGAAGGGATTGCGGCATGACCATCTCCCCTGGGGGGTGATCTCTCGCTTTCTGTCTCTATGTCTCGCTTTGTCTGGCGAGCGCATGCGCCCTATAGCGAAAAACCTCTCCCAAAAAAAATACAAATGTATGGAAATAAAACAGTACATTTAAATGAGGTTAGTTGGATCAATATCTTTCTATTAAAAAATCTCAGAATTAAAATTTTTAAAGATTTTATATTTTCTAAATACAAACAAAGTAAACAAATCAATCATAACGAAAAAGTTCACAGTGTCAGTAGATCTCGTGATACTAGAAAAAAAGATAAGCATTAGGGCAATATCACCTAACTTGGTTAATTCTTTTTTGGGGGGAGAGGTATTTTTTGCTACAGGGCATGTGCGTTCGCGAGACAGACATACAGACAGAAAGGGAGAAATTACCCCCGAGGGGGGATGGCCACGCCACAGTCCTTTCTCCTCCCTTCTCTTCTCGGGATCTTGGGCACACACGCACATGTGCCCGGCGTGAGTTTAAGCCACTGGGTCCAGGACTCGAACCACGGTCGGTTACGTGGGAGTCCAGTTACATAGCCATTACGCTAACTACTGGCCCCACTTGGTTAATTCTTTATTGTATATGTTAAAATTGCCAAACTGAGGCCAGGTAGTAGTGTGGTGGTTAAGTGACTGGATCCCACATGGTGACAGCGCAGTCCAAGTCCAGGGTCTGGTGTCATTAAAAACATGTCGGGTGCATGTGAACCGAAAATCCCAACAGGAGGGAGAATTGGAGAAGGGATTGTGAATGACCGTCCCCCTTGTGGTGCATTCGTAATATTCTTCTCTATCTCTCTTCGGTGAGCACATATGTCCTCTCGCAAAAAGAAAAAAAAACTTTTTTTCCTTTATTTATTTATTTTTTTATTGTTTTTGGGGTTTTTTTGACATATAAAGTATTTTCATTTATTTTTTTATTTAAATGTATGTATTTACATTCATTCACTGTACATCATTACAGCATACAAAATGAGATTTTTCCATCCAGAGTACACTGTATATTGACTCAATCAAGCACATCAACATACATGTTATCGTCAACAAATAATTTTCCATTTCTTGTTTCCTGTATGTTTTGCTTTTTTTTCCTCATCCTTGATTCCCTATCTCTTACCCTCTGCCATCTTCCACTCTCCTCCCACACTGTCTCTGGTATCTATGTTTGCTTTCTATACTTTTTTCCCCCACATTTTTTTGAGTCACTAAGGATCTTAAAAAAAAAAATTATTTTTTAGTGGCCAAACTGAGCTTAATTGTTTTAGTGCCATAGATATTTAGCCTTTGTTAACTTTTAATTCAAAATAGATTTACCATTTAGAATTTTGTCTTAGAAGTAGCTTCTCCACTCAACTACCGCACTTTTAATTTTAAAACCTTTTCTAGAATATAAAGTCTCGGGACCAGGGGCCAGCAGTTACCGTAATGGCTATGTTGCTGGACTCCCATGTAGTCGACCATGGTTTGAGTCCTGGACCTGGTGGCTTAAATTCATATTGAGTGCATGTGTGTGTGTGCGCCCAAGATCCCAAGAGGAAAATGGAGGAGAAGGGACTGCAGTGTGGCCATCCCCCCAGGGGGTGATTTCTCGCTTTCTGTCTCTCTCTTTCTCTCTTTCTGGCGAGCACACGCGCCCTATAGCAAAAACCTCTCCCCTCAAAAAAAAAAAAAAAATAGTGAAAAAAATCTATATATAAAGTCTTTCTGACCTTAGAATAAATGAAGAACACTTAGTCTGATGTCCAGGTTACTATTGGACATCATATCTGATGAATATATGAATTAATCATGTTAATTCAAAAATTCTTTGAACTCAGGATTTCTTGTACTATCACTAATGGAGTCTCTAGAAGCTTTATTCCAGGACCTTAGTGAATCAGTCATCCAGAAAATCCCTAGACACATTCTTCGTGGATCGGGGGATGTAACAGGAATCCCTGCCTACTTCCTACCTCTACTTCCATGAAGAATATGTCTTCTTCTGCTTCTGCCTTCCCCTGCTTCTGCCTTCCCATGTCTACTTACAATCCTGTCTATTTGAATGCTTATGAGTGTTTTTAAAAAAATTCAGTATTGGGCCAGTCCTGTAACCTGGTGGTTAAGGAAAGCTAGATCCTACATGGCTAACATCAGTTCAAGTTCCAGCCCCAGTGGCTTGAAAAATATACCAGGTACAGATGCATATGTGCCCAAAATCTCGACAGAATTGAAAAATGGAGGAGATAATTATGGTATGATCACACCCTATTAGGGTGTGAATACATATGACCTCTGTTTAAAAAAAAAAAATCCAAGATATAACTTAAAAATAAATGGCCCAGGGACCAGCAGATGGAATAATGGTTATGTTACTGGACCCAACGTAGTTGGCCACAATTCAAGTCCCAGACCCAGGAACTTAAAACTCACTCTGGGCACATGTGCATACATGCCCAAAATCCCAAGAGGAGAATGAAGGAGAAGGGATTGCGGCATGTCATCCCCCCTGGGGAAGTGGGGTGATTTCTCACTTTCTGTCTCTATCTCTCTGGCAAGCCCATGTGCCCTATAGCAAAAATCTCTCTAAAAAAATAAATGGCCCATAAAATCTGTACTATTCTGTTCCAAAAGGTGAAGGCTTCTCTTATGCAAAGAAAATATGTAATTCCCTCAGATGTACCAGGTGAATCAGCTCATTCTGCATGATGTTTTTGTACCTAGTTATTTATATGGTAACACTCTCTGAAGATGTTTCCAAAGGACCAGTATAGGTGCTTACTAATTAAAAAAAAAACAACTTGCCCCACCATAACGGTGTAGATAGTAGGGTGGTAGCACTGTGCAATACTAAAGCCACATGGGAACTCAGGTTTGTATTCTGATTTGAGCTAAACAAGACAGGCATGACTGTTTGCACCAGTGATCCTAGCTGGCCAGGAGTCTGGGAGAGGATCACGGTGTGGTGAGACCTGCCTCCCCTTTCTCTCTTTCAGTAAAATAACCATTTAACTAATAAGTAAAACTTCAAAGTTGAATTGATTACATAGGGTAAATATTTGGGAAATATCTTAGAGGATTTTACTCTTTTCTTTACGTGAATAGCAATCTTAGATCATCTTGCAACATATATTTATTTTCACAGATTAAAATGTGAAACTTTATTCTGTCTTTTAAAAAGTAAACTCTTTATTTTAGCTGGACCAGCTATTCCTTCAGTTGTGGCGTATCCGAAAAGGAGTCAGACCAGCACCGCAGATAGTGACCTCAAAGAAGATGGAATTCCCTCCCGGAAATCAAGCGGCAGTGCTGTTGCAGGAAAGGGAATTGCTCCAGCCAGTCCCATGCTTGGGAATGCAAGTAATCCCAATAAGGCGGATATTCCTGAACGCAAGAAAAGCACAGCTGTCCCTAGTGTAAGTGTTGGTGAACTGTAGAACAGTTTTAGAAGTATAGGATTGGAATCAGCTAGACACATTCAGAGCCCGCCCATTTCACTCGTGTGTTCCCCTCTGCCTGGAATGCTTTCCTCATTAGGCTGCCATGCCCAGTCTCCACCTGTAGAAATCCTGCCTGTTGCATTGTAAATACTTCTTGTTGTCACCCCTGTCTTTGTCCGTTTCTACTAATACAACAAAATACCTGAGACTGAGTAATTTATGAAGAACGTAACCTTATTTCTTAGAGTCACAAGGCTCAGAGCCCAGAATAAGGAATAAGGTAGATAAGATAATATTCAGTGCCTGGTGCCATTCACTCTCTGCTTCCAAGACAGCACCTGATTGCTTTGTCTGCAGAGAAGACTAACATTGTGTCCTCATGTGATAGAAGGATGGAAGGGGCAAACTCACCCCTTACGCCCTTTTATAACACACCGATCTGCTTATGATGGCAGAGCCTTCATGGCCTAATCACCACCTAAAAGCCCCACCTCTTTTTATTTTTATTTATTTATTTATTTTTTTTGAGAGAGAGAGATTCTTGCTATTGGGCCAATGTGATTACTAGAGGGACAGAGAGCGAAAATCAGCCCCCCAGGAGATGGCCATGCCTCAGTCCCGCCTCCTCCATTCTCCTCTTGGGATTTTGGGCACACACATGCATGTACCCAGCTGAGTTTTAAAGCCAGGTCTGGGATTCGTACCACAATCGACTGTGTGAGAGTCCAGCAATGTAACCATTATGACATCCGCTGGTCCCAGTCCCTCCTCTTAATACTGTTGCATTGGAAATGGAGTTTTAATGTGAATTTTGGACTGATGCAGACAGTGAAACCACAGTACACACTTCAACATACTAGGTGAGAGATCAGGTTCTTTAGTCAAGAACTATTTCCAGTTTTCCAGATATCTGCTTAATTTTAGGTTGTATCAGGTGCTGAGATAGAAAGCTCTCACAGTCTCAGAGAGGAGATAATCAATGACAGATGACAGCAGACAGAAGCCCTAAGGTACCTAGCACCAGGAGATCTGACCGCCGACACACAGGATATGGTGTTTGCACTGGTTCTTCAAAGGCTTTAGTGAAAAGACATTGCCTGAGTCCTTACAGTGTGCCAGGGACCATGCTAAGTACTACAAGTCTTTCTTGTGCTGTTCTAGGGGCAGGTATCCTTAGGACTCCAACAGGGTTTTTCCTTTTCCATGCTCTGACCTTACATTCAGAGTAAATCTGAATTTTGGCTTCTGTAATGCTATAAAATGGGATTGTCATTTCCATAACTCTACAATTTAAATTTAGTCTCCAGATTTTATCAGTAGTTACCAGAGAAGAAACACACCTCATTCTCTGCCTTCAGGACTTTCCATCCCCATCCCTTTTATTTAACCTGCTCTCTGTCCTCCTGAAAGCATATCCTGAGCATTATCATTCATTCATATTTTATTATACATAAAGGGCAAACATAGCTAGCAGCATAATTGCTATTTTCCTTTTTAGCTTTGATTTATTCACTTTTTAAATTATTGTATTTAACTTTATATATTTATTTACTTACTTACTATTTGACCAGAGAGGGACAGAGAGAGAGCGGAAAAGTGAGAAAGCAAACCGCCAGGTCTGGGACTCGAATCACAGCCATGTGGGAGTCCAGCACCCTTAACCACCACACCACCTCTTGGCCCCAGTTTTCATTTTTTTTAATTGCCACATGTTACTTGACCTCACCAAAGTTAAACAGAGAGGGAGAAAGCACCCTCAATATAGTATGTTCATGCTATCACCCCTTCTCCGTTTCTTCATCCTGTCGGGATTTAGAGCATTGCATGCACATGTGCCCAGCATATTTGTCAAGCCCCCGGGTCTGGGATTCTAACTATGTTGGCCACGTAGGATCTGGCTCCTTTAACCACTAGAAGACTACAGGACCAGCCCATAGTTATAATTTTTTCCTGTTAGTCTTGAGTTTCTCTGTTTGCTTATGCTGAGTTGAAGGTGACTGCTTTATCTATGTTGAAAAGCCATAAAATTCCTTAATTGTTACTTTTGTTCCTTTTCAATTTTTAACTTTATTACATGAAATATAAGTAGCCACTTTTTTTTTTTTCCAATTTTGAAAAAAATTTACTATTGGATGCATGTGCTCAATGGACACAGAGAGGGAGAGAGAAAGAAAGTGCCCCCCAGTGGGGATGGTCATGTCCCAATCCCTTTCCTTCTCGGGATTTTGGGCATGCACATTTGCACACCCAGCGTGTTTTTCAAGCTGCCAGGTCTGGGACTGGAATCGCAGGTTCGAACATGTGGGATCCAACTGTCTTAACTACCATCCCACCAACTGGCCCATAATTAGCCATTTTGTGTAATTTAGTGGTGTTTTATATCCTCACAGTGTACAGTCACTACCTTTGTCTAATTCACTACCTCTGTCTAATTCCAGAATTTTCTCAATACTCCCCTGTAGCCGCTAAGTAATCTCTCCCCACTCCACTTCCCTGCCTACTCCACTTCCCTGCCTACTCCTGTCCACCACAATCTGCTGTCTGTCTCTATGGATTTATCTTTTCTGAATTTTTTTTATATTTATTTTTATTTATTAATATTTCATTTGTTGTAGGGCATGTGGGCTTACCATATTGAGAGAGAAAGTGAGAAAACATGCCTCCAAATCTAGGAACCAAACCATAGTCAGCCATTTGGGAGTCTAGCACCTTAACCACCGTGGCATCTGCTGCCCCCCTAAATATTTTATATAAAAGGAAGCATACGTTTTGTGGCCTTTCATGTCTGGTTTCTTTAACTCTGCATAATGTTTTCAAGGTTTATCCAGGTTGTAGCTTATAGTATTAGTACTTTGTTTCTTTCTATGATTAATATTCAGTTGAGTCGTATACCAGTTTATTTCTTTATGTGTTGATGGACAATTAGGTTTCTACCTTTTGTTTATATAGCATTATAAATAATGCTACTATAAACATTTATGTGCAGCTTTCTGCCTGGACTTAGCTTTCATTCTTTTGGATATATACCCGCACATGAAATTATTGGATCATTATGCCAGGCACATGTGAGTATGTGCCCAAAAAAATCTCTAGAGGAGAATGGAGAAGGAATTGCGTTGTGGCCATCCTCTATGGGGGGGAGGGTGACTTCTCACTTTCCTTCTCTCTCTTTCTCTTTTCCCAGCAAGTAAGTGCATGAGCTCTATAAAAAAATTCCAAAAAGGGAAAGAAAAAAAAAAGTATAGTAATATAGTCATATAGTAATTCCTTTTAAAAACAAAAGAATTTATTTATTTATTTGTTCATTTTAATTTGACCAAAGAGGAACAGAGTGACAGAGAGAGAGAAGGAAAGTAAGAAAGCAAACTACTGGGCCCAGGACTCTTAACTGTGGTTGGCCACATGGGAGTCCAGCACCCTTAACCACAATGCCATCCTGCCTCTTTTTTTTTTTTTTAAGTAATTTCTTTTTTATTTTTTTTGAGAGATTTTTGCTATAGGGCATGTGTGCTCACCAGAAAGTCAGAGACAGATAGAAAGCAAGAAATCACACACACACACACACACACACACACACACACACCCCCAGGGGAATGGCCACACCACAGTTCCTTCTCCTCCATTCTGCTCTCAGGATCTTGGGCACGCACATACACACATGCCCTGTATGAGTTTATTTAAGCCTCCAGTTCTGGGACTCGGACCACGGTCCACTACATGGCAGTCTAGCGACATAGCCATTAGGCCAACTGCTGGTCCCAGTAATCCATTTTTAATTGTTTTAGGAACTGCCAGGCTATTTTCCACAGAAACTGCACCTTTTTCTTTTTTTAAAAAAATTTTTGTGGGGAGAGATTTTTGCTATAGGGTAAGTGTGTTTGCCAGAGAGACAGAAAGCGAGAAATCACTCCCCAGGGAAATGGCCATACCCTTCTCCATTGTCCTCTTGAGATTTTGAGCATGCATGCAGACATCCCTGGTGTGGGTTTTAAGACGCCAGGTTTGGGACTCAAACCTCAGTCAACCACGTGGGAAGTCCAGCAACTTAACAATTAAGCCATCTGTTGGTCCCAAGGCTACATCATTTTACATTCCTTCTCAGTATGTGAGAGTTCCTATTTCTCCACCTCCTTGACAACACTTTGTATTTTTTGTTTTTTATTACGATTATCCAGATGGGTGTGAAGTAGTGTGTCTCGTGGTTCTGATTTGCATTTCTTTAATGACCATGCCTTATTGGCTATTTGTATAATTTTTTTGGAGAAACGCCTATTCAAGTTACTCTCTGCCCACTTTTTTTTTTTTTTTTGGCCAAAGGGTGCATGTATTTGCTAGAGAAAGACTAGAGCACCAAGAGAGAAAATGGTAAATCATCTTCCATGGGAATGGTCATCCCATAATATCCTCCCCTCTACTTCTCCTTCCCTTCGAGGTTTTAGGCAGAACACATATGTGTCCAGCATATTTTTCAAACCACTAGGTCAGGACTCGAAACACCCAGTCAGCCTTTGTGGGATCCAGCTGCTGCCCTGAGTTGCTTTTTTTTTTTCCTTTTTTTTCCGTTTTGCTATAGAACGTGTGTGTTTGCTGGAGAGAGGTGGGAGGGAATGAGACATCCCCCCTGAAGTATAGGCATGCATGCACATGTTCCCAGTGTGTTTTTCAAGTTGCTGGGTCTGGGACTTGAACCACTTAGTCAGCCATGTGGGACTAAGCCACCTTAATCACTGTGCCCTCTGCTAGTGCAAGTTGTTCCCTTAAATTGGGTTGTTTGTCATTTTGTAGATGGGTTGTATGTTCTGGATAGTAGACCTTCGTCATATGTATGATTTACAAGTATTTCCTCTCATTGTGTAGGATTTCTTTTCACTTTCTTTCCTTTTTTTATTTTATTTTTTGGAGAGATTTTCGCTATATGGTACGTGCGCTCGCCAGACAGACAGAGACATAGAAACAGAAAGCGAGAAATCACCCCC